ATTGGAAAGCCTTACCTTAAAGAAGCTGCACGCCACAAGTATTCCTAGCAGCCCGAATTGAGATTTGATTATTGGAACTGCAGCTCAAAGGGTGTTTTTTCCCCCCCAATAACCAATTTTATCTTTCATATATATTAACCAAGAAACTACTGAGCAAACAACATTTGAACAAAAGAACTGACTTTCCACCAGAAAGAGAAAAACGTATAGATAAGAATGGCGCATCATTATTCACACATTTTTTTTAACCGAAACACTTTCCCACCGCACAGCACTTTTCTATGCTCATTTTCCTCCCCTGAAAATCTGTATCAGTGTCTTCTGTCAACTTTGGACAAGTGTGGGGCTGGCTCTCCTGAGGTTAAAACAGCCCAATTCTAGTTCTCAGTACAGTCCTCACCCATGAGAAAGAAATTAGACAAACCTTACCTTGAACTGGCATCCAAGGGCTGCTTCCTGAAATCTCCAGCAACTGGGATCAGACCAGCACAGGATGCCTCACCTAAGACAGCAGGTGAGGTGGAGGGGCCAGTTCCAGGCTTTGGCTGCCCTCACTCCCACCTGTGTGATTGCTTCACGAGCCAGCAAGGGCAGGCATTTGATTTCCAGAATGGTCTCCTTGTCTTAAATGAAAAAACAAGTCTGTTATTGTTCTGCAGCTCTGTCCCCAAGACACAGATCTTAATTTTTTAGTTTGGCAAAACATCAACTACAATGAAGTACTTCAGCTACAATGACGTCAGGGAAAAGAGCCCAAAAAATGCCATACCTAGAACCTTGTTGGATCTTTCTGATCACAGCTTAAAGAGATAACCCAGGAGGTCTCCTTAACCAGACTCACTTGGGATCATTTAACTTTAAGAAGTAATTCAATGGATAACAAGCTTTGTCTTGTTTTTAAACAACATACAGTCATCAAGAAAGAATTATCACCTGGAGTGCTTGTTAACGTAAGATTCTTCCAGATTCCTTGGGTTCTTTTGCGGTCTGGTAAATTCACTGATCTAAAGCAGGGGTCCTCAAACTACGGCCCGTGGGCCACATGCAAATACAAATATTGTATTTGTTCCCGTTTTGTTTTTTTACTTCAAAATAAGATATGTGCAGTGTGCATAGGAATTTGTTCATAGTTTTTTTTAAAACTATAGTCCGGCCTTCCAACGGTCTGAGGGACAGTGAACTGGCCCCCTGTTTAAAAAGTTTGAGGACCCCTGATCTAAAGCCACAAAAACTGTGTTTTAACTGAAAGAAATGCCAAAATGTGACATCGGGACTTTAGCACATAGTGAGGAGAGGTTTTAGTGGCAGCCCCTGCCTGACCTCACACCTAGACAGGTTTTCAATTCATGTAAGGTTAACGCTGCTTGTTGAGAGTGTTAATTACACAGCTGCCAATGATATGGACCCCTATTGGCTATGTGTAGAAGCAACGAGAGAACAAGAGAGATCCTGGGTCAGTTTTAAACAATAGAAAACCAAAAATTAATTTTGCATCAGTGGGATAAAAATGTGTCTTTCCCAAGCAAAGCAGATGCCCCAGCGGTACCTGGCCTGCAGTTGCTAGAGGATCTGCTGCTTGTGTCTGGGCCATGTGTGTGGGTGTTAAAGAATCCATATGGTAAGATGCTCATTCCCTGCATTCTAGGCAAACAGCAGGTGGACTGCGTTCCTACTGTCTTTTAACAGGCAAAGCCGCTACAAATTCCAGAATTTGGCAAGTAATGTAAGTCCATGGCAAAGGTGGAAGGGCATTGAGGGAGAAATAGACACTTCCACACGATAAAAAATACTATAATGGGGCAATCTCCAGGTAGATAGTGTCAAATGTCTTTGTGTTCCTGACTTGAGTTAACTGACTTGTACCTTATATCAAGAGCCATGTAGTTTCTTTATCACATAGAGATTGTACCTCTCTGTTGTTAAAGTTGAGCCAGGAGGCTCAGTGGTATAAGCCAAGTCCCTGTAGACAAGAAGATGAAGGAGAAAGCCTGTCTCAGTCAACACCTGAAAATTGTAGACAAGGTGGGATGGTGAAAAAGTAAGCTGCATTACATGTGAACTGACTTTGGCCTGAGAGGCAGAAGATTATAACATGGATTTGAATAAAAAGCTAATATCAAAGGGGTTTTGACCCACTGCCCATTTGGAATCCTGGAATGAGACCTCCATGCAAGGTACTCTGCCAACCTCTGGCAAGGGGTTAGGGTTGATGGGTTGAGCAAAAGTAGAAGGAGAGGCTCCCTAAGGTCTGTGCATGATGTGCAAAGGATCTAGAAAGTTCCTGTGGCCCCAGTGAGGATCTTGGGATCTGGGGAGAGACTGGGAGAACCACTGGACTTTGCAGAGGTCTGGAGGTGGGGAAAGGAGGCCTGCAAGGTCAAGACCTTGAATGGCTGGAGGCCAAGTCAAGTCACCAAGAGACAGCAGTGGGTAACACTGCTCACCAAAAGATCAAATGGAACTAGTTTTTCTGAAATGGATGCTGGTGCAGACTAAACAATCCAGTCAGGGCAAGACAAGTTAAGATGCCTCATAAGCTTTTTCCCTACACAGGGAAACCATCTGGGAGATAATAGAAATTATATATATTGATCTCTTCCCCACACCACTTCCTGGCACAGGACTTCTAAAACCCTTGTAGTTTCCTAAGTGATAAGAGAACTAGGAGCATCTTTTAATCTAACATTTGGTCTTTGACCCTTGGGATTTCCTAGGTGATAGCAGTACCTTTTGTTCCAAAAAGGTGACTCTGGGTGGGCTTCTAGATGGGAATTGGTCCCCAGAAAGACTTAGCCGTGATTAGAAGAGTGGACTTTTAAGCCCCACCCCCCATTCTCCAGAATGGGGAGAGGGACTGAAAATGGAGATAATGATGGATCATGCCTGTGTGATGAAGCCTCCATAAAATCCCAGCAGAAGAGGTTTGGAGAGTGTTCAAGTTGGTGAACCCAGGAGGTGTCTGGAAAAGGTATGAAGCTCTACACCCCTTCCCACATACCTTTTACTACACATCTTTTCCATGTGAACATTCATCATATCCTTTATCATATCTTACCTAATAATAGGCAAACATGCAAATTGACCGTACTTTCACTACACCTTAAGCCATGTCCATCAGCCAATCAGAGCGACTATATACAAATTAACCCAACCAAGATGGCGGCCGCAGCCATGGAGCTGGAGCGAGCAGGAGGCTTGCTTGCTCCAGTGATGGAGGAAGCCAGCCTGCCACCAGCTGTGAGCTCCACTCAAAAGCAACAAAGTTTCCATTATAGAAGGTAAATAAACCCCAGATACCTGCTTTCAGCAGGCCATGGCCACAGAGCTGGAGTGAGCAGGAGGCTTGCTTGCCCCTGCGATGGAAGAAGCCAAGCTTCCCGGCGGCTGCTGCCTCTTCTCAAGGCAACAAATTTTCAATTATAGAAGGCAAATAAACCCCAGACACCTGCTTCCAGTCACCATGGCCACGGAGCTGGAGCAAATTAAAAAAAAAAAAAAGGAAAGGCTGGGAGCGTCAGTCACCAGGGGGCTTGGTCAGTCTGAAAACAGCCATCAGCCCCTCACCCAGGCTGGCCAGGTACCCCAGTGGGATCCCCACCCTGATCCAGGACACCCTTCAGGGCAAACCAGTTGGCCCCCACCCGTGCACCAGGCCTCTATTCTATATAATAAAAGGGTAATATGCAAATTGACCCTAACAGCAGAACAACTGGGAATGACTGGTCACTATGACACACACTGACCACCAGGGGGCAGATTTTTTCCAGTACAGCGGTGGTGGTGGGAGCCTCTCCTGCCTCCTCAGTAGTGCTAAGGATGTCCGACTGCAGCTTAGGCCTGCTCCCCACTGGCAAGTGGACATCCCCTGAGGGCTGCCGGGCTGCCAGAGGTCTGACTGCCAGCTTGGGCCCGATCCCCCAGGGAGCAGGCCTAAGCCAGCAGGTGGACATCCTCCAAGGGGTCCCAGACTGCAAGAGGGCATAAGCCAGGCTGAGGGACACCCCTGAGTGCACAAATTTTTGTGCACCGGACCTCTAGTTCTTTTATAATAATCTAGTAAACAGTAAGTAAACTATTTTCCTGAGTTCTGTGAGCTGCTCTAGCAAATTAATGGAACCCAGGGAAGGGGTTGTGAGAACCTCTGATTTATAGCTGAAAGGTCAGAAGCACAGGTGACAACATGGACTTTTGACTGGCATCTGAAGTTGAGGGGAGGGGTCTTGTGGGACTGAGCCCTTAACTTGTGGAATATTCAGGTAGATAGTGTCAGAATTGAGTTCAATTGCAGGACATCCAGCTAGTGCAGCCGTGGGCAAACTACGGCCCGCGGGCCGGATCCAGCCCGTTTGAAATGAATAAAAATAAAAAAAAAAAAAAAACCGTACCCTTTTATGTAATGATGTTTAGTTTGAATTTCTATTAGTTCACACAAACACTCCATCCATGCTTTTGTTCCAGCCCTCCGGTCCAGTTTAAGAACCCATTGTGGCCCTTGAGTCAAAAAGTTTGCCCACCCCTGAGCTAGTGTCACAGAGAAGTGCTTGGTGGTGAAAAGCCCCTACATATCTGTTGTCAGAAGTGTTGTGTGATAGTAGTGTAAGAGTAAAAGATACATAGGAGGAAGACTGAGGCTCTCTTTGTACCATCTTTGAGGGAATCATAAGGGAAGAGAACAGCATTATGAGGATGGACTTCAGATTGACTAAATACTTCTTGAAAGTCTTTTAAAACAAAGGTAGCATAGTTTCTTCCACCCACAAAAGCAGCACTCTGCTGTCCAGCAGGGGGTTGTGAGAAAGATCTCTCGGAGGCAGTAAAGAAACTATATTTCCTTTGCACATCTGGTATCACAACTAACATTGAGTGTTCACTATATGCCAGGTATTGGGCAAAATGTTTTACAACCCTATTTCATTTAATTCTCACTGTGAAATACTAGTATTACCCTCCTTTTACAGTTGAAGAAATTGAGACACAGACTTGCTCTGTGGACTGTGGACCGCTGGGGTGGGTGAAGGATCTCAAGATGGCTGGGCGAAAACTTGCTCTAAAAACCACTGACTGGGTAGCTTTTGGGGAAATCATACCCCAAAACCAGAAGACCATTGCTAACACCCTGAGGAATGAGACCCTCACCTCCAGGTTGGCTACTCTATCTAAGAAACCACCTGCTATTGACTGGGCTTACTTCAAGGCCAATGTAGGGAAGGCCGGCTTAGTAGATGACTTTGAGAAGAAGTTTAATGCCCTGAAGGTTCCTGTGCCAGAGGATAAATACAGTACCATGGTGGATGCTGAAGAAAAAGATGTGAAAAGAAGTTGTGCTGAGTTTGTGTCTCTCTCAAAGACCAGGATTGAGCAATATGAGAAAGAGCTGGAGAAGATGAAGAACATAATTCCATTTGACCAGATGACCATCGAGGATTTGAATGAAGTCTTCCCAGAAACCAAATCAGACAAAAAGAAGTATTCCTATTGACCTCACAAGCCAATTGAGAATTTATAAACTTGAGTCTGAGAGGAAGCTCTGGTTCTTATATTATAAACTCTGGACATTAAAAATAATCAGATAGTGGGGGGAAAAAGAAATTGAGGCACAGAAAAATGAAGTAACTTTCTCAAAGTCAGTGATGGGGTGAGGATTGGATCTCAAGCACTGAGATGTAGAACCCATACTCTTAACCTCTATGCTACATGTTCTTAAAACCTTCTTTTTGTGTTATATGCAGGGTGTCCCCCCAAAAAATGTATACATACTTTAACAGCTGATAGCTCAATTTTGACAATGTAGTGCATTTTAATAAACTCTGCCTTTATAATTATGCATAGTGTGTATATAGATTTTTGGTTGACACTCTATATTTCAAAGAGTTTCCTACATAGGTCTCTATCACTTGACCAAGAATGTTTTTTGAAATTTTATTTGATTATTAAAGAGAAAAGCTACCAGGAAATTGAGTGTGGAACTTTTATATAAATACTAGAGGCCTGATGCACGACATTCGTGCAAGGGGCTCAGCCCTCACAGCCCTGCTGGCTAGGTCGTCTGGAAGGTCATTCTGCTGTTTGGTCTAATTAGCATATCAGCTCTTTATTATATAGGATAAATTGTGTGTATTTTTGTATACACAGAATTATCTGGAGTGATATTCACCCAAAGATTGAGAATTGCTGGCCCTGGGTAGTAGGATTTGGAATGATTTTTACAATTTTCTTTATTCTTTCCTGTTTAATTAAAACTTCTATAATATTATGAATTTACTTTATAAGCAGAAAAATACAGTGAGTTTGCATTAGTCAGGACAGAATTGGCTTCAAGCAATAAAAAATCCCAAAATCTCAGCCTTAACACATGCAGTTTTTTGTTTTGTTTTTTTCTGCTCTGGTCTTGCATCTTTACAAGGAAGCTTTCTTTTGAATGGTAACTCAACAACTGAATCTACTTCTATCTTATAGTTACACTATTTCAACCCTTGGTTTCTAGGGTCACAGAAGTAGGTGATAAAAGAGAATGGAAAATTGACAGCTGCTGTAAAATGCCTCCATGGCCCCACTTTAACTGTAAGGGGTGGGAAATGTGGTCCATTATGCATCCCAGAGAGAACTGGACATAGGCAAACACAAGTAACCACTCTAGCACAATGTGATTTCTATTTTAAAGACTATAAAAAAAAATTAAAAAGAGCATGTTTTCCAGAGTCAGGCTGCCTGAGTTCATATCCCAGCTTAGACACTTATTGACTATGTGACTTTGAGCAAGTTATTCAACTTCACTGTGCCTCAGTTTACTCATCCTCCAATGAGATTAAAGGGTTGCTGTGCAGATTGCATGAGATTATATGTTGACAAGCACAATAGATTGTTCATAGAGATGACTATGATAACTCCTCCTGTCCTTATAACCTTGCCCATTTGCAATGTGATTTTTTTTCCTCCCATAAAAAGGTAGAGTTTACCTCTCTATTCTTGTGTCTGGGTTGTACTGTGATTTGTTTTGACCAATAGAAGGTGGTGAAAGTACTATGTGGGACTTCCAAGCCTAGAACTCAGTCAGCCTTGCAGCTGCTGCTGTCACCTCTTGGAATTCTGCCATGAAACTCCCACATGAAGAAGCCCAGTCTAGCCTAGTGGAGAATGAGAGGTCAATGGAGGAGAAATAAGCTGTCCCAGTTGAGGCCCCTTAGACCAATCAGCCAGCAACTACCACAATTGCCAGACATATGGGAGGGGACAAGTTAGGCCATCAGAGCTGCCAGATAATTTGCAGCCACATGCATGACCACAGGCAAGAAAAGCAGGAAGACCATCCAGCTGAGTCCAGCCCAAATTGCTGACTCATAGAATCATGAGTAAATAAAATGGTTGTTGTTTTAAACCACTGAGTTAGCACAGTATCTATCTTAGTTTCATTACACTGCTTAGCACAATGTCTAGCATATAAGAATCTATATATATAAAAGCCTAAGTGACGACCCGACGGTAGCTATGACACGCACTGACCACCAGGGAGCAGATACTCAATGCAGGAGCTGCCCCCTGGTGGTCAGTGCACTCCCACAGCCAACCTCCCATAGTCCCTCCCCTTGGCCAGTCGGCCCCGATCGGCCCTGATTGCCAGCCAGGCCGAGAGACCCCACCCATGCACGAATTCGTGCACCAGGCCTCTAGTCCTATATAATAAACAGCTAATATGCAAATTGTCCCCTCGGAAGTTCGACCGACTGGGAGTTCGACCACTCACTATCACGTGCGCTGACCACCAGAGGGCAGCAAGGAATGAAGGAAGGCCCCGGCCGGCCCTGATCGCCGGCCAGGCCTAGGGACCCTACTCATGCACAAATTTCATGCACTGGGCCTCTAGTTATTTAATAAATGTCAAGTGGTGTCATTGCTATTATTTTCATCTCATTTAAAGTTGATAACATTTACATAAGGCAGACAGGGCAAGCATTTCTAATCTTATTTATTTATTCATTTATTTATTTTTAACTGAATTTTTGGGGTGACATGGTAAATAAAATTATGTAGGTTTCAGGTATATAATTCTATAATTATCATTTGTATATTGTATTGTGTGTTCACCACCCCAATCTAATCTCCTTTCATAGGTAATAAAATGAAGGCCTAGAGCTGGTAAATGATTTATCTGATATCACAGAGTCCTTAAGGAATCAACTGAGCATTTAAGACTTGTCTTTGTGAATCATTCTCCAGTGCAGACATATTCTCCACAAATGAATCCCTTCATGAATAGAAACAATGAACCACAGTCAAATATTTGCTTCTACAGTTTTCAAATTACTAATCTCCCATAAAAGTGCAAAATCAGCCTCCCAGTACCCAAGTCTTTCTTGTTGATGATCTTCAGTACCTGCAGTGTCAGGTTGAACTTATGAACTTGAGAAAAAATAAGTAAAGCAATTTATTTTTTTTTAATGGCAAAAAAATAGTTTCCTTGGAGCAAATTTTAAAAAGATGTTCTTCTCTTTGAAATCACAAATAAGATTTTCAGGGTATTCCCGTGTTTGACTATTAGGCAAAATGATTTCCAGCACTTAACGTCACCAATGCCATCTTACAAAGCAAGCTAACCACCAGTTCACTCCAGGAGGGGTGGGCCTGTATCAACTGAAAGGAATATTCTTACATAAATAACTGGGCACATTAAGTTGTTTACTGCTTTGGATTATACAGCTAACAAGCACATGCCATATGACTGCAAGTCACTTGTGCTAGCCTGTGGCTACAAGCCACCTGTGACACTTGACTAAAAGCCACCTATGTTGGCACATGCCACTTGGCTACATATAACAAGCCCCATGCCCTTTTGGGTGTGCAGATCTACCACCTTCCTACTGCCCAAGACTCTGCTTCTGTCCATAGGTTCCCTTGATAACTTCTTTTTTCTTTTTTTAGAGAAAGAGAAAAGAAGGTGGGGAGAAAAAGAGAAAAACATTGATTTGCTGTTCCACTTATTTATGGATTCACTGATTGCTTCTTATATATGCCCTGACTGGGGATCAAACCTGCCACCTTGGCATATCGAGAGGACTCTCTAACCAACTGAGCTACCTAGCCAGGGCCTCTCTGAATAAATTCTTGATGTAATTCTGGAATTGTCTACCTCTTTCTTCAGTATCTGGGCCCTGGAAAAAATTCCCAAAAGACTCAGCAGTAACCAAAATTCCCTTAGAATGAGTCCCATCATTTTAGTGATAGACCCCACTGACCCTTGAATCACAGATATTTACAAGTTCCAAAAGCCACCAGTTCCACACAAACTCCTACAGGCATTTGGGGGGGGGGGGGTAGGGGCGCGAATATATGTATCTCAGTGATTTTTAAAAGGTTCTTGCTCTCTTAGAGGTGAAGGATGAGCCAACAGAGATCTGTTTCTTCTGCATGTAAACATTTTTAATCTTACCTCCCCCGAAGTGGGCCTGCAAACAAAAACCAGTTCACCTCTTTTCTTCATTCCCTCATAAACAAGTCATCAGCAAGGCCAGCTTGATTTTGCCTTCAAATTCTACTTCTCACCAGCTCTCCTGTTACAGCCCCTAGTCTAAGCTATCAGTATCTCTCACTTGAACAAAAATAGCAGCCTCCTAACTGGTCTCCCTGTTTCCATCTCTGAACAACACCGTCCAACAGAACTTTCTGCAATGCTGAGAATGTTCTGCATCTACACCAGCGGTTCTCAACCTGGGGGTCAAATGACCCTTTCACAGGGGTCGCCTAAGACCATCGGAAAACACATATATAATTACATATTGTTTTTGTGATTAATCACTATGCTTTAATTATGTTCAATTTGTAACAATGAAAATACATCCTGCATATGAGATATTTACATGCCGATTCATAACAGTAGCAAAATTACAGTTATGAAGTAGCAACGAAAATAATTTTATGGTTGGTGGTCACCACAACATAAGGAACTGTATTAAAGGGTCGCAGCATTAGGAAGGTTGAGAACCACTGATCTACACTGTCTAATAGGGTTGCCTATTTGAAATGTAGCTATTTGAAATGTGTCTGGTGTAACTGAGGAAGTAAAATTTTAGTTAATTTTAATCAACTTAATTTTGAATACCCCCATGAGGCTAGTGACTACTATATTGAACAGCACAGATTAAAAAAAAAAAAAGTCTAATCACATAATTTATCTGTTTCAAATCCTCCACTGCAATTAAAATGAAATATGAAATCCCTGCTTGGCCCACAAGGTCCGGTGCCTCATGGCCTGGCCCCCTAACTACCTTCTCCCCCTAGCTCAGAACACTCCAGCCTCAGAAACCTTCTTCATGTCTCTCAAACACGTCAAGTTCACTTTCTCTGGCATTTTCTGTTCCTTCTTCCATGGATTCTCATATAATGGACTCCTTTTCATTAAGCTTTCTACTCAAATGTACCTCTTCAGAGAGCCTTCTCTGACCATCATCCATAAAGTTTGCCCTAAATCCTATCACAGTGAACACA